TTGCCCGTTGGTGGCCAGGTGAAAGGGTGTGGAGCAGATGTGCCATATGAAGTAGTGGCCCAAGAACTCCTGGAACTCCCCCAAAGTGAAGGCAGTTCCATTTTCTGTCACGACCGTGTCAGGTAGGCTGTGAGTGCTGGAGATTTGTCTGAGGGCCTGGATTGCCGCTTTGGAGGAGGTGGAGGTGACAGACACAACCTCCAGCCATTTGGTGTAGGAATCCACCAAAATAAAGAATATTTGTCCTTGGAAGGGGCCAGCAAAGTCCAAATGCACCTGGGACCAAGGGTTGTGGGTGGATTCCCAATGTTGCATGGGAGCGCAGGGCAGTTCCAGCCATGTCTCTTGGCAGGCCTGGCAACATTGGACCCAGGCCTCTATTTCGCTGTCCATTCCACACAATTCTGTGGTGCATCTCATGCAAGTCTGACAAGACTCTCAGGTGCAGGGGAGCAAGAACCACTACCTGACCGCCCCACAATAACCCCCCTTTGTGAACTGAGAGCTCATCCCGGTGGGATGAGAAGGCTGTAAATTCTGGGCCCACCTGGCCCCTCCCCACCCAGTCTGAAATGTGGGAGAGCACCCAGTCCTTCACAGTGTAGTGGGAAATATCTGTAACATGAAGAGGGTGGTTGGGGAGCTCCTCCAAGAGCAGGATCTGTTGCGCAAGAGCAGGGTCCAGATCAATGGAGCAATGTGGCAAGCGGCTGAGGGTGTCAGCACGTCCTATCGCCTTTCCAGGACAGTGGCAGAGGGAGTACTGGTACCCCACAAGGAAAATAGACCAACGAAGTACCTGAGGCGAGAGCATCTGGGGAATTTGGCAATCTGGGGCAAGAAGTCCCAGCAGTGGCTTGTGGTCCATCGGAATGATGAACGGCTGCCCATAGAGGGAGTTGTGGAACTTCTTGACCCCCATAATGATGGCCAGCGCCTCCTTATAAATTTGCGCATAGTTGCGCTTGGCTGAAGACAGGGTGTGGGAGTAATATGCCACAGGGACTTCCCTGCCATCTGGCAGCTGGTGGCCAAGAATGGCGCCAACCCCATACGGAGAAGTGTCGCAAGTAAGCATGACGGGCAGCTTTTTGTCAAAATAGGCCAGGACTGTGTTGGAGGTGAGCAGCTCCTTCACAGTCTGGAATGCAGCGGCTTGTTGTCGGCCCCAGACCCGTGGGGCCTTCTTGTCGAGGAGGTGGTGAAGCGGCTCCACCAGCCCAGCTGTATGGAGTAAGAAGGAATTATAAAAGTTCACTAGCCCCAAGAAAGCCTGCTTGGAAGTGGGTGTGGGGGTGTTGACGATGGCGTGAACCTTGTCTGGGGCCAAATGGATGCCATCGGTGTCTATGGAGAACCCCAGGAGCTCGACCCGTGAAATACCCAAGAGGCACTTCTCCCGCTTCACCTTTAGGCCAGCTGACTGGAACCGCTGCAGGACAGCATTCAAGCAGCAGATGAATTCCTCCTCTGTGGGGACAGCAATCAGAATGTCATCGAAGAAGGGCTGGTGCCTGAGGATTCCTTTAAGGAGAGAGTCCATGAGATTTTGGAAAATTCCCAGGGCCATGCTGACACCAAATTGTAGTCGCCGCATCCTGAACGTGCCCCTGTGCATGACTATGGTCTGGGCCTCTGCTGTTGCATCATCCACTGGGAGTTGCTGGTAACTGGGCTAAGTCCAAGTTTCCGAAAATCTTGGCACCTGCCAAGGAGGCCAAGACCTGGCTAACTACTGGGACCGGGTAGGCGTGGTCCTGCAGTGCCTTATTAATGGTACATTTATAGTCCGCGCAGATGTGGATGTCCCCGTTGGGCTTAATGGGTGTGACAATCGGGGTCTCCCAAAGGGCATGCGAGACTGGTTCCAAAACCCCTTGGTCCACCAAATGATCCAGCTCCTCATCAATTTTAGGCTTCAATGCGAATGGGATGTGCCAGGCCTTCAGCTGTATGGGCTGCACCTCTAGGTTGAGCTGGAGGGAGACAGGGGGTCTGGTGTAGCGACCGAGTATCCCATCAAAGATGGCTGTGAACTTATCACACACCTGCTGAAAGTCTTCTCGGGTAACTTGGTGTACCCCTGTAACTCAGAACCCCAGGGGCTCGAACCATGTTAATCCTAGTAAACTTGTGCAATGCCCCCCTACTACCCCAAGTCCAAGAGTCCTTCAAAATTCCAGTACTGTACCACCCCTTTCACTGCCACTTCATTCTGTTGGAAGTCCTGTACGGTGAAACCAGCCAGGCTAAGGCGAGGACCCACTTTAGGGCAGAGCCTACGGAGGGTGTCCTCCAAGATTATGGAGGACCCTGTGTCTAGCTCCATTGTGCATGGTGCTCCCTCGATTAGAACAGTCACTTTACTTTTATCGGGCGTGTCCTGGGGCAACTGCAGTACCTGGTGATGCTGGACAATGGTGGAGTGCAGTTCCATGTCGTGTGGAGACTCCCGATGGTCCGGACTGTCACCTCCGGGTTCCCTTGGAACAGCAGGTGTGGGTAATATGGCCGACCTTTCTGCAGCTCTGACACGAGTGTCTCGGAAACTGCAGTATTTCCACTCATGGGGCTCCCTGCAGCTGGCGCATGGTGTCAAGGTGGTGGATTCACCAACGCGAGCTGTGGCGGGAGTGCTAGTGCCGTGGTGGGCTGGGCGATGTATTTTCAGGACCTCCTCGTCCTCGTCAGAGGTGTCCACGTGATGGGCTGCGGTGTCAGGCCTCTGTGAAGCTGGTAGGCTCAGAGCTTGGTAGACCTCTGTGGTGAACTGTTTGGCGGCTTCTGGGAAGAGGGCTTCTTCAAACGCAACCTTGAACATGGGGTCCTGCTTGGCAATGAGCTGCCTTTGGATCCACTCATCCCCAATTCCGCACACCAGCTGGTCACGGAGTTCTTCCTCCATGTCATGGAAGTTGCAGTGTCGGGCAGCACACTAGAGGGCCATAACATAGGCCATGATCAACTCACCTGTTGCCTGGTTCTTCGTGTAGAACATGTGGCAGGCCGCAATGATGGAGGCCATCGGCGTGAAGTGCTCCTGCAGCCAGTCTATAATCATCTGATATGGAGTGGCTCGTAGCTCCACTGGAGCCAGCAGCTATCAGGCAAGCTCGAATGTTGAGCGGCCGCAGACCCGAAAGAAAGTGGCAAGCTTCTTCTTGGCCTCGGTGATCACGGAGGACTTGAGGAAGAACTTGAAGCAAGAAATATAGGAGTCCCAGTCCTCTGCAGTGGTGTCAAGTGCATCAAAGTGTCCTGGAGCGGCAGCCATGGTCCCAGTTGCGGTACGATGCATGTGGCACTGGAGCTCGGTGCACAGTGCAGTGCAGATGGGCTCCAGTCTCACTCAACAGGATCCCACCTCCATCGCCAGTATTAAATACTGGGTTCAAGATGCATTGCAGTGAACAGCTCTACTTTGTTAAGTGATTTCAGAAACAAGACTAAAACACCAGGGCAAGAGCCCTGTTTAAACAGCATGCAAAAACCACACCCAACTCCGAACAATAGGCTATTTACATAACATTAGTTTCTCATTGGTCACTTCCAGATTCCTGGTGGGCTATTGTTCTAGAGCTTCAAGCTCAGCCAGTCTCTGGTAGATAGTCCAGGAATATTCCAGTCCTAATACATAACAATTACCTAATCAGGTTAAGCTTTCACATGCTATTTGACCAGGTTGCCTCACCAAAGAACAAATTTTGTGATATACACTTAATGGCTGAAGCCAGTGTTTACAAAGTGGTCTGGCCTGTGAAGAATGTTTTAGAAACATGCATGTGTACAGCACATTAAACCTGACTGACAAGAGAGGATAACAAAAGATGTGAGTAAATTCTGACTGGGTAATGATACTCAAGAGTGTGGTAGTAAGTTTGGAGAACTCATAAAGGTGGGAGAAGCCTGTACCTTCAAACGGATATTTGGGACATTTTGCCCATAAACCAGTGCTCTGCCTCGGCATCACAGCCTCTCTTCTCATGCTGACTCTATAATAATAATCTTTCCATTTATTCTATAATCTTTCCATTTATTGATCGCTCAATCCATGCAGAGCTGCCGGCTCTGAGTGATTTAGTTACTCATGAATTTTACGTGGGACTAACAATGCTGGGGGTAAGGGAGGACAACATATATAATTTAAATCACACACATTTTCGCAGTCGACAGAGTTTGGTCAGCTGTAAGGTCCAGACGTGTTCCGGCAGCATTCCTTTCGGCGTCGCTTGATGTCGTCAGCATTTTCTCAGTTGCAGCGCACCACTGCCACTGACTGGCCGAATGGCCTATTGCAGGCTTTTCTTCGCTGCTCTTGGCTTTCGGATCTGACGCGCAGACCCTCCGATCAGCTAACACAACCCCCACCGGGGAGGGTTTTAGTGTGGTCACCCTCTATAAGGAGTGGTACCCATTTTATCTATTCGCCGAAGCTTTTGAACCGCTGGGTGGATGGCGAGCTGGGGACAAGGACTGGTAGCTCACACCAGTGCGGGGCTCGAATTGACAGCAGTCCTGTTCAGCTCAGTTGTTTAACCAGGGGATAAATCCCCTGTGCCACCACTCATGCCATATAGATACAGTGCCTTGCACTGATGGTGCTTGCAACTTAATAGGTGACAAAAAATAGTTAGGTGACAGAAAATGGAGTGGAAAAGAAGTGTGATGAAAAAAGAGTGGTTTCTCACTTATCCAGAGCTCTTGGAAATATGTCTCAGGAGCTCTGTTTGAAATCGCTTCAGAGATGGCTCACTGACAGAATAAAATTCACTACATGAAACCCCCATCCTGTATTGCTTTATTTGGAAATGGGCCAACAATAGATAACAACCAGTTTAGAATGGTAATGTGAAAGGGGCCTATATGTTCTTAGTAAAACAATAATCAGATTCTAACCATCTATGAACATGGACTCAGAGATTTGTCCCACCTCATATATCTTATGCCTTATATTTTTAACAACATTTGTTGGGGGAACCTGTTTTTTGTTTCCATTACAGTCTAAGGATCTGGAATATGTGAATTCTGAATATGGAAAGAATGCAGTGAGGCTCCTATACGTTCGTCGAGAGGGCAAGATACACTGCATCAAAGAACTGGAAGTCTCTTTACATATAAGACTGAATAATGTCAATGAATATGTAAATAGTGACAATTCGTGTGTCATCCCCACAGACACCATCAAGAATACAATCCAGGCTTTTGCAAAATGCCGTGGGGTATGTTTTTATGTGACTATGTTTGGCCCTGTATTGACATTGTCTTTATGGTTTGTACTGATGTACTTCCTGTCAATTAGCAAATCAGTTCTCGCCCCCCCCCCAAATGTTTGAGACCAATGGGGTGGGGGAGGCAAGCTTTAACCACAGCTATGTTTTCATATGTATCATGCCAGCAAATCGGTGACCTGGGAGTATGATGCAACTACATGACAGATTTACTATGATGCAAACAAAAATACTTTCCCAAAGAATGACAGAAATGTTCTTTAAAACTTCTCTCTAAAACTTCATCTACACATTAGAAAGTTCTTGAGTTTGTTGAGGAACAACAAGAAGAATTAGCTTCTCCTTACCCTTCTGTTTTTACATTCTCAAATTATTCCATGGACCCGCTATTGGCTCCTTTGTAAAAATCATATTATTCAGGGAGCTACATATAAGTTTTACAATAAAGCCAATAGTTACTCCATGGGGGGTGGGGGAGAGAGGTGAAAACTACTTTTCTCTGCCTGCTTTGGTCACAAATAGAAAAGAGCAGGTGAGTGTCTGGAAGGCACAAAACTCCCATTGCACATATGATGCAATGCCCTTGTGATGTTCTTCAACAAACACAAAGACTTTGTAATTTATGGATGGAGCCTCAGGGAGGATTGCTAGCTTATGATTTTCGTCTTAAACATCTGTCAGTTAAGACTGGAAAATAAAATTTGCTATAGTTCTCAAGCATTTACAAGCAGTAATAAAAGAAAAAGTCAAATCACCCAAATGTTACCATTTTGATATGGACAAACAGCAATTCAAGTTTGAGAATATTGTTCTTCAATAGATTTTTATCTCACTTCAGTTCACACACATCTGGAAGGTGATTTTGGATTTTTAAAAATAATCAGGAGCATGGAAGTTTTGGGAAATCTTTTTTTAAAAAAACCTTAATTCTTCTTATTGAATAATTTTAAAATATAATTTTAAAAACCTTTAATGGATTTTCACTAACAAATAAATGCATGTTTTCAATGCCACATAAATTTTACAGCAGATTTTTGATTAATCAAAATAAAATGCATAATATGTAGCAGATAAATTAGGAGCCACTCTTTCTCTCTCTTTCATGGCATAACACATAAGAAATTGAGTGAAGGGGGGGGGTTGTACTGTGGACTAGGATTCAAAGAACCATGGCACTAGGTATGTGAGCTCACAGGACCTTTAGTCTTGTTTTCCTTAAACAAGCACTCCACAGCAGCTGTAAACTATAAAATGAGAGAAATTTCAAAAGGAATTTTATGATAGAATGTAGTGATTAGCTGTTCAAAGATGACAAAAAATTCCATTAGATTACTCCAAGCATCTTGTACAAATATAAGCAATGCTCTCGATCCCAGTTAGAACTTTTACATTCATCTGCTTGTAATTAAACTGTAGACCCTCTTGCCATGGAGTATTAAGAGCATTTGGTTTAATCAAGATTATGATTAGTAATGACCAGGAAGTTTCATTTAATCAAAACCTGACCATATCGTATGATACAGTACTTTTTCTAAATCCATATCTCAATGTAGGAATGGATTATACTGAACACATCTTTTCTCTCACTAGATCAGAACAATAGAGGACTTTGGCCTCGATCTGTGTGAGCACTTCCTCACACAATATTGCCATGTGATATACTGCAATGTCTTTATCCAAGAGGTACCATGGCAACGCCTGGAAAAGGTACACTGATCTTACAAAGCCGAAAGGGCCCGAATCCAGCACAGCCCGCATTTTGCGGGGCCAGGCGGGGGGGAGAGCTTTCCGGAGGCTGGGTGAGATGGGTGGCTGACGGCAGGGAAAATACCCCTGGCCCTCGCCTTGAGCCAATGGCAGGGCGCCAGGGTGGCTGGGGAGGAGGGCTGGGGTAAAGGGGCCAGCCACTGGCCATATGCCCCCAGTCTTTGTTCAGGCCACAGACCAGATCACCAACCCATCCTGCCCCTACATGTGAGGGTAGGAGCACGTGGCTCATCTGAATAGTGGTCCACAATTAAATAGGAGGGGTTATGGTTTACCTTGTGATGTATTTCCTTAATATTTCTTGTTACAACTTTGTTTTACCTTAAGATGTTCATCCTTCTGCTATATTTCTTGTCACAACTTTAGCAGTAACAGCATGGGACCGGATCCATTTACAGAATTTGGCCCACACACCATTTCCTGGATATGGGGACCCCCTCATTGGGTCTTGGTGTGAGGAACAAAATGGAGCATACTTGCTCAAGGACTAACAGTGGGTACCCTCACAACCAGATGGCAGGGGAGAATATGAAGGGGCAGTCATCTGTGTGGGCTCCAGCAACCTGCCATTCCATGGGTCGCTACCCAGGCTGGCTGGCTGGCTGGTGACGGGTACATCGGCTTGCTGAGGGGCCAGCTGATGCAGGGGATCCGATGCGGCCCATGCTGTGCCAATGCTTCTTATGGCAGTAGCCAATAAAGTTGTGGCCAATTTACCCACATATTTTCCGAATCGGTTGTGTGTGTGGTTCTTTCATACGAATGGGTATAGCCAAGGAAGCCTCCCCCCCCCATAAAGACTGGAACCCGCAGTCTGGGGGCACAAACTAGTCTGTGCCCTATGCAATGCAGCTCTCTGAAAGAGGCTGATGGAGGACGGGAATCAGTGGGAATGGAGGGAGTGAAGCTGGTGAAGCCCTGGACTGAGTCTTCAATATTTCATATTACGTTTGCCTGCTGATACTTTGTCACTTAGTTTGTCATTTTAGAAGCTTCAGCAAAAGACGCAGCGGTTTTATTTACAACATTTGTTTTTCCTTCGTAATCTCTAGGATGGTGTCCCACATGCCCATGCTTTTCTCTACAGTTCTGAAGGAGTTCGCTTTTGTGAAGTGGAACGGAATTTGAACGGTAAGACAATAACTATTATTCTGTCCATAATATCTTAATCTTTTCCCAAGAGAACAGAAGTAGGAACAGTGGGAGTTGTTCAAGGATTTACTGTAAAAAAGAGAAAGAGGAGTGGTGTCTATTTTGGTCTGCAAATATTAGAGAGATCCATTTTAACCCTTGCTGAGGTGAGAAAACAATCCAGAATCCAGAATTGCTTATTGTGTTTCTATCCTATTCTACCTTCTGATTGGTATAGATAGGGGTTTTACCATACATGTTTACCTCCTGGTCAGGCTGAGAGATTTTGGCTGGTCCAAGGTCACCCAGTGAGCTTCATGGCTGAAGCTGTGATTTAAGCACAGGTCTACCCAGGCCTTGTCCAATAGCCCCTGTACTTTAGTGGTTCTCACTATAGTTTTTCCACTTTAGTCCCCATCGTTTGCAGTGTATGACCTACTTGTTATCACAACCCCTCTTTGGTAGAGAGGAAACAAAGAAGCTAAGACGATCTTTATCTAGTTCATTCAGGCTCCTGACAAAAGACAGCACAATCCTTGTGGTTCTTTGGAAGTATTTAAACTTCCATGCCTTTGGAGGTAAATCTAGAAGTCAGATAATTTAACTACATTATTTCAGTTAAGTAATTTCTGTAATCTTTGTCATTTTTGTTTTAAAATAGTACAAACCTCCTTGAGAACCCTAAGAGGCCAAAATAGCAGGACATACATTGATAAAATAAAGAGATAAATATCTGAAACACAGGAAGAAAAATGCAGGTGTTAGCAAACTGATGGGGAGGCTCATTGTTGCTGACCATCACATTGTTACTGTAATAATCTGAAATGAGATAGATTCAGGTGGGGTAGCCGTGTTGGTCTGAAGCAACAGAACAAAGTTTGAGTCCAGCGGCACCTTTAAATTCTGAGACTGTGTGCTTGCACACAAAAGCTTTTACTGTGAATAAAACTTTGTTGGTCTTAAAGGTGCCACTGGACTAAAAATTTAATCTGAAATGAGCTCTGAGTTGAACAAGGACAAGAACACTGCAAAGCATCATCTTGCACAATGAGCTGCTGAATCAAAGGCCCCTGCCACATGGCAGGGAAACCACGAGGCAAGCGCGGCTAAATAGAGCCGCTCCAACGTTGAGATGCTGCGGCCGGGATCCCACGGATCCCCTGGCCGCAGCGCCTCCTCTCCCCGGCACGATCAGACGCGCCCGATGGGAGTGGACGCTCCGCCGATCCCACGGCCCGGCTTGGGCCGCTCCAGACGCTTGCAACCACCTAGAGAGGTGGTTGTTTTTTACTGCACGGTATCGCCATTCGGGACGGATCGGGGACGGAGACGGCAGCTCCCCAGATGTTGAGGTGGGATCGCGCCCGTTTGCTCCGCCCCCGTTCCGTCCCACTCCCGGCCCAAATGGGCTCGTATGAACGGGGCCAAAGTAGAGCTACTTGCAAGACCTCTGCTCCTGTGCAAGTGAATTAAAATACACCTTGCTAAATCTGTCAAGCAAACTTCCTTCAAAATCCTCTGCTGCTTTGTTACAGGTTTGGTGAGACGTGTCTGTGACAGAAATTACAAGCAGAACAAACCAATATGAAAGCAAATTAGGATCCTGAGGAATCTCAGAAATGTAATTTACTTGCATGTATCATTGCACTCCAGCACACCCTTGCTCATCTGAAATAATTTCTTTGCAATAAGGGTTTTTTTTTGTTTCTTATATTTTGGATTATAGGTTCTCCAAATGTTTTCTCTGGCATTAAGGATCTGAAAATTATGAAGACAACCCAATCAGGCTTTGCAGACTTCTTCAAGGATAAATACACCACACTCCCAGACAGGAGAGAACGGGTGTTGTCAGTAGAATCGCTGATCAAGTGGTGCTATGGTGACTGCACAGGATGCTTGGACTATGACTGCCTCTGGTACAGTAAAAGCCTATGGGACCTCTTTGCTGGATCAAACCAGTGGTCCATCTAAGTCCAGCATCTGTTTCTCACAGAGGCCATCGGTTGTCCTAGAGGGTCAACAGACAGGACATAAAGGCCAAGGCCTTCCCCAGATGCTGCCTACTAGTACTGATATTCAGAGGTTTACTGTCTCTGAATATGAAGCTTTTCTTTAGTCACCGTGACTAAGGAACCACTGATGGATCTATCCTCCATGAATCTAATACCTCTTAAAGCCATCTATGCTCATGGCCATAATAACTACCTCCATTGGCAGTGAATTCTACAACGTAATCACTCTTTGAGTAAAGAAGTATTTCCTTTAGTCTGTCCCTAACCTGTTCCCCATCGACATCATTGGTTGCCCCTGAGTGCTACTATTAGGTGAGAGGGAGAACAGTTCTCTTTATCCATTTTCCCGCCTCATGAATAATTTTATAAACCTTTGTTATTGCAGGATCTCGAGCCTTTCCTCATAGGAAAGGGGTTTCAACCCTTTATTTACTTTGATTGCCCTCTTCTGCCCCTTTTCCATCTCTGCAATATCCTTTTTGAGATACGGTGACCAGAACTGAACACAACACATATGGCACAATTACATACCCATGAGATCTAGTGTGGTATAGTGGTTAGAGTATTGGACTGGGATCTGGGAGACCCTGGTTTGAATCCCCATTCTGCCTTGGAAGCTCCCTGGGTCACCTTGGGCTAGTCACAGACTCTCAGCTGAACCTACCTCATAGGACTGTTGTGAGGATAAAAGGGAAGCCATCTTGGGTTCACGTTAGAGAAGATTGTTATGAGGATGACATATAGGTGAGGAGAACAATGTGAGCTGCTTTAGATCTCCACTGGGAAGAATGATGGAGTATAAATGCTGTAAATAAATAACTAAAAATTATCCACAGTAAGGGAACAGTTCAATATACAACAGGATAAAAAGCATATTGATAAGTAGTAGTGGATAGGGATAAGGAAGGTGTTTAATCAGAGAGCTGTAGCTATGAGAGGCTTTATCAACATGACTTCTTGTGGAGTTCACTGTGGTTGACTGCATGCTGCTTCATAGAATCATGGAGCTGGAAGGGGCCATACAGGGCACCTAGTCCAACCCCCTGTGCAATGCAGGATCAGCCTAAAGCTTCTAGGGATGTTATCTTAAACTGGCCTTTTAACTTGCTTTCTTTAGAGCTCAGCCTTAGCATTGTTCAGTGTTTTAAATTTGTATTTATTTAAACTAATTCATATATATAAATGTGCAGACAAGCTTTTTCTGTTGGAAAGCTGCAAATCCTAAAAACATTGCTATTTATGAAAATGATTGATCCCTCCTAAGGGTCTCCTATATAATTTTTGTGCAATCAACATCTGTTTGTCTTCTTTTTGTTATGAATACCACATGTTTGTTGCAGGGGACTGCTTCCTGGAGTACTTTGTTCAAGGGACAATGCAAAATATTTCCTTCCAGATGCCACATTAATTAATTAATTTATTTATTTATTCCTTCGATTTATATACCACTCACCCCCTAAGGGCTCTGAGCGGTTTACATCATAGAGTTAATACCATTCCTAATCTAAGGCCACCCACATACAATGGGGAGGTGACTAACCTAGCAGGCACCCTATGGCGGAGTCTTCGTTGTTGTAGTCTTTTTTTTCCTTTTCTTAATGCTGTTGCAGTTGTTGTGTGCAGTGTAGCTGTGCAACTATCACAGGCAGCTGTTGAATTTATGACTGGCAACAAAATTCCCCTCATGCCCACATGATTTGGTGAACCTGGTTGTTGTTTAGTTCTTTCAAAAGTGGACACTTCCTTGCTTTACAGTCCTCTTGCAAGGGATTACATGTCTAGCCACAATTTATGTAAAAGTGGCAGCAATTCTACTTTGTGAAGCTTTTGAAATCTTTGGTATCTCTGCACTCTTCCACTGTACAACTTTGATATGGAAGTACCTAACTACTCAGATTTTTTTTCACCATCACATTTTTAAGGGACAAACGGCACCATGACTATTGACCTACCACATGGATGTTAACTTCACTTTCCACTCCCGATAAAACACTGTGTATTATAACATGCTCTTATCAGGGCTCTGGAAGTGACATCGGTGAGGTCCCCACTCACCCCTGGAATGCCCACCCCAAGCCCCCCACCACCAGGAGGAAGGCATAGGGCAACCCTACCTGGAAACCATCTAGAGGAGGCAGGAAAGCCACCATTGCTGTGTATTATAACATGCTCTTATCAGGGCTCCCAGTGGTTTTTCCATCCAAGGGACTGATGAAGTCCACACATACACAGAGTTTCAGTTATACTGGGATATAAGGCACTCCTAGACCATCACTAGGCCCCACTTGACATGCTTAATATGATCATACGGAAAACATTTCTCAAGCAGATACATGCATGTCATACAAAACTATTTCCTCTCTCTTGCTTTCCTGAATACAGTGTGAAAAATCACTTCCCAGTTATTACGTCCTCAACCGTGCACAGCTGAGGGCGGTACAGAAGGAGGGAGGAAAACATTCAAGACCTGTTGTAACAGCCCATGTGGTGGTTCACTGGTGGACCAGCTCCCACCACCACCTTCTGCTGAATTCAGAGGGGGGTCCAGCATTCTTCCTGGAGATAGGCTTGCCAGTCCCCAGGTGGGGGCGGGGGATCCCACACTTTTGTGGGCTCTGGCCTGCCACCGGCCAGCTGACCAGTGGGGGAGCCCCACCCCCAAACAGACATCCCCACATGACATCACTGACATTCAAGAAGTGACATCATCATGTTGGCGACATCAGCGGCGCTCTACTTTTTGGGCAAAACTCTACGGTTTGTAGCTCTTTTTACCATAAAGTTTTACCCAGAAAGTAGAGCATCACCCGGACGTTGCCAATGTCACTTCCGGAAGTGCCATCGGTGAGGTCCCCACCCACCCTTGAAATGCTCACCCCCAATCCCCCCACTGCCAAGAGGAAGGCATCTGGCAACCCTACCTTGAAACCATCAAGAGGAGGCAGCAAAGCCACCATTGCTGTACTGCACAGTCACACGGCTGCTTAGACAATAGCAGCACCTGATGCTTGCCAGTGATGTGATCACCTGTGTGCATTCCAGGGGTCATTTGGGGGGGGGACGCGGGGGGACGCCATCCCCCCGGGTGAGGTGCGGAAGGGCGGGGCTTGGAGCTCCCTGCTGGTGCCCGCTGGAGGTCGCCGCCGGCTGTGGGGAGGACACACTTCCGGTGATGTCAGGGGGTGTGGCATATGCTAATGAGTTATGCTAATGAGTCCCCCTAGCTCTTTTTCTACGAAATGACCCCTGGTGCATTCTAAGTGCTGCTAACCATCCAGCAGCCACACACCTGCACCATGGTGCACTAGCAGCCTCAGTGCCTCCGTAGCCTCTATTTAACACCCTTTAGTAAAGGTTCTGGTTCCTCTCGAAATTTAATGTAGTTTGCTAGAACAGCCAGAGCTGAGTCCAGTAGCAAGTTTTCAGGAATATAAGCTTTCAAGAGTCAAAGCTCCCTTCATCAGACAAAAGGAACTTTGACTCATGAAAACCCGTGCCCCCAAAATCTTGTTGGTGTCTAAAGTGCTACAGGACTCAGATGCAGCTGTTAGGCTGCAGACCAACATGCAGACAAAATGATTATTGTACAGTGTCTGATTATTATGTATTTCTTTGAAGGAGAACTGCCCATGAAGCTGTCCTAGATGCCTTTGCTGGACCACCTGAAACAGGCCATTACTCACCTTCTTACCAGAGGACTGTCAACCGTATTCAGACGTACATCCTGGAGAGGATTCCACAAGTCAGTATCATTATTCCTGCCTTTAAATGTATGCTTTAAATGTAAACACATTATTGGAATACAGTATTGATACAATTGTAAACTGAGGATTATTCCAGAGTTTGCAAAGAACTGAACATGAGCACAAACATGTGATGCTATGTAATGCGATCAGACCATTTGTCCATCTAGGTCAGTAATGTCTGCTCTGGCTGGTGGAAACTCTCTAAAGGACATAGGCAGTGTCCTTCCTTTTCTTGAGATCATATAACTGAAAATGCCAAGGATTAAGCCTTGTACCTACAAGGCAGAAAGCACATGTTCTATCCCTATGCATGTTAGCCCTAAACTAGATTTGTGATCATGTCCATAATCGTGCCTAGTCTGTTTTAGGGAAAACAAAAGTAGAGTCCTGTGGTACCTTAACATTTTACAAATGCCTCCTGACATGTTGTTCCTTGGGGGGGGGGGGCACATTGGGCTGCAATGAGATGGGGAATGTGAGAAATTCTGTGGAAACACTTAGATCTAAGCCACTGTGCTGTTGCCACACCACATCTCTTTTTCATAATGGCTAGGTAAAAACAATTTGTGATGTGACATTTTCATACTGTTGATTGCTCTGCCTTCACAGTGGACAACCAGTGATGAGATAGAGCCAGCATGGTGTAGTGGTTAAGAGCAGTGGACTCTAATCTGGAGAACCGGGTTTGATTCCCCACTTCTCCACATGCAGCCTGCTGTGGGTGACCCTGGGCCAGTCAAAGTTCTTTCAGAGCTCTTTCAGCCCCACCTACCTCACAAGGTGCCTGCCGTCAAGAGAGGAAGGGAAGGTGATTGCAAGACACTTTGAGACTCCTTTGGGCAGAGAAAAACGTGGTATAAAAACCAACTCTTCTTTTCACATGGGAACGGGGCTCCACTATGCACATCATATGCTGTCTTTTACCTAGATACTACAAGTAAGAGGGGCAAAGAAACATGGGCTGGCTGCAATTCCATGTTTCTTGTAATGTCTGTTTAATCCTCAGCTGTAAAGGGTGCCTGAAAGAATGCATCCTTTAGAAAGAAGATTGTATTGCTGATCACTCATGATGATGCATGTTTTATATTTCCAGGCTGAGGAGGTTGAAGTGATCATGTCCAACATCCACTACTGTGTTGCAGATCTGGACAAGCTGGGATTGAACAATGACATGGAGGTGAGAAAATGTTCTCTTCAAATTTCTGGTCCAAAATAACAGGATATTTCTACAGAGTTGTAGAAGAGGGTAGAGGAAGAAACAAAGCCTTAGGACAGACCTATATATCATCTATCTTTTAAACTTGTGTAAGAATTATTCATTGTTCCCAGGGGATCGTGAGAAACTGTAGCTCTACAAGCAAGAGTTAGAAATCTCTGACAGAGAATCCTCCTTAACCCTGCTACAATTCCTAGTGTTCTTTGGGGAAACCATAAAAGTTATAGACAACCAATAGTGGTTTGCACTGAAGATAACATCCCCAGTGTCAAGCACCACTTTGAAGTTGGAGATTAACAGTTGTTTGTCAGAGAGCTGAAGTTAGTATGGCACAAGCATTGTTTCTTTGTTCTACTATCTTCTGTGTTTTCTCCTACCATTTTCAGTTCCCTGAAATCAAATTAGCGCCTAAATTTTAGTCATTGCTTTGGCAGAGAGATGAGGACTTAATATGTCAATGCTTATTCTAACACTGCATTTATTCATAAATGAAAGAATACACGTGAAAACCATTAGGATAGGGCACAAAAATCCTATTAAAGATCTTTGCAAGTATAGGTAGAGGTGGGAGAGATTTGGGGCTTGCTATTTTTATCGTTAGTTTTAGCTGGAGATGTTTTAACTATTATTGTAAGCCGCCTTGAACCTAGAGGAAAGGTGGGATATAGATGTTTTAATAAACAAATGGAACAAATAAAAATGGATTTTGTATTTCAGTTAAGTATTTTGACATTTTCCTTCATGAGGAAAAAAAAGTGATACATTGGAAATGGTCCTCAATCTGGACATCTATTACCCTGGCTCATGATCTATTACCTGTCAGGATGGCTGTTCAAAGCTCCTCTGAGCAAAGAATAAAGTACTTGATTGTACAGGAGTGTGTATCTGGTGGGGAAGAATACTCCAGCTTTAGAGCTTTTTAAAGGCTGGAAATAGTACTTTAGCTTTAGAAATTTTTAAAGACCTTTTAGACTTTTCAAGATTTCATACACTTTATTGCCTAGTTTTTGTATTCAGACATAGTTGCTGTATGATCTACATACACATCCAAATTCCAAGCATTTCCCCATTGTGAAAGGAATGGCTCCTGCTCAGAAATGATGCCAATTATTTTGTATTATTGGTAACTCTACAGTATATGTTGAAAAATCTTCATTACTGGTAAGAAAAACACTGCAGAGGCATAATAGCTATACCACTCATGTGAAATAAGGCAAAGTCAATTATTTCACTAGAAAAGTGAGCAAAATATTGACTCTATACCCTTATTGCATTGTGCTTAGCATCTCCACATATAAGGCTTGATGGAAACACATGATGTTTTAGCAATGATAAATTTGAACTATGTAGGGCCCTTTCTCTACTATAAACTTAAAGCAATTTTATACTGCTATTAACTTCCCTGAAAAGAGTCATGACTATTTAAGAGAAATGTTCTCTTGGCGATTCTTAGCCCTTCCCGTAATGGAGGTATACCTAGGAGAGAGTATGATTGCTAACTAAGGGCGTTACTACACAATATGCCTGACACATCTTGGGTCATGGGCACGCAACCAGATTTGCAGACATACATAAGTAGGGGAACTCACCTTAAAGAGTGCTTTTTTGTTTGGTACTGCAAGGGAGCTCTGCAAGGGGGGAAGGAGAAGGAGCTTCCAGCTTCCCTCCCACCCTACATTTGCCAGTGGAAAGGGTGATAGTAGAGGGCTGGCATTTTGCCCCTTTCCTCTGGTTCCACATCCTTTTAAAGTTGGTTGGCTCACCTGTCACCTGTGTTGGGAGTTTCATGTAGTTTGCCCTTCATTGAAGTCTGTAGTGAGACTGTACCCTTAAAGAAACATGGGGTAGACTTTCTTTGAAGCTAGTTGTGTGCACTGCAACTGGAACGAAACCATTCGCATGTGTATTCTTTGCATGCAGGTCTTCACTCCTCAAGATACACCATTTGGCGCTTGTGCAACTACATTGCGTAGGAAGAAGTGCTCAGAAGGAGAATCCCTGCAACCGATGGAATGCAAACCCCGTCACAGTGTTTCATGGAAGTCTGACCATATGATGAAGTGAGCAGCCAGCTCCCACCTCATCAGAACATCACATTTAGCATAACCCATCACCTATTACCATGTGTATTGTGCTGTACTTTTCTCCATAGTACTATAGCTCCACATGTAAATGCAACTGAACTTTTTAAGGATTGCATAAAGGAAATAATATGCTGACATCTCAATGAATTTCTTTTTGCTTCTTTTGAAAAATTTGAATATTCAACGCAGCCCACCTAGAATGATATATGAGACAGAGACATTTATGTGCCAGATCCTGTGGTTTCAAATGACGCATCATTACACTGAGTCACAGTAGCTGAGGATCTGGACCTTCCCCTATTTAACACATTTTGAATTGTCCATATAAACCAAATTAAATTATAGCTGCTAAAGCAGTCAAATGAAATGGTAGTACTATTGCCTACACATATTGTATAATGGTCATAATTTTAATAATTGGTCATAACAGTAGCAGTGAAAAGTGTTAACCATTTTGTTCCTCTACCACTAAAAACCTTGGGATGTATGCAGAAAGGGAAACAGCTAATTTAATTTTGTATAATTGATCACAGGGCAAACCACCTTTGAAGTGTTATTCAGATCTTCTTTAATAATCTTCAGCCTTTTGAACAGTTCCTTCTCTGTAGTAAGTGTTCTACTTCTAAGCAAGCAGAGTTGACCTCCAAAGCAGACTACACGTGCATTGGTAGTTTAAATTTTTTTTTTGCAAACCTAAGAATCTCAGAAATGCCTTGCTGTATGCATCCATGCCAGAATTTTGTCAGCATTGTCCCTCTTCCAGATTCAGCTGGGGGAGAGAGAGCGGAATGTTGTCTGTACTACTGCATCCATTTGTTTTCTGCCATGGTTGTGTGGGGCTCTTAGAGGGCAAAAAAGTTACATCTCATTTCAACTTTTACCCACATGAAACTTCTAGCACTAACCTAAAGGGTCAAGTGCCCATTACTGAGAGAAACCTGTCATGGGATTGTGAATATTTTAGGAATTCGTTGCAACCTGAATTGTAATGCCATCTCTTGACTCTTAAATTGACAGCCTATCTGAAATACTTTCATAACTTGTACATATCATTTGGGAAGCATGCTCTAGAGCATACCACTGAATACATTTTTTACAAAGCCAAGCTGGGTGAAGTTGGTGGAGATTTATAAGGCTTGGTTAGATATCTTACTTTTATCTGAAACTTTGCAATTTTCCCTGTCTTCTAACCATTTGCTTTTAAAGGGCAAAGTAACATCAGCAATACAAGTCTTAACAGCCTGCTTGCCAAAGAAGCTTCCAACAGCTTTTTCTATATCTATTTTACCTTCACTAGTAGGACTGGTTGGAAAAAGGATTTCACATACTTCCCTCACCATTCAAGAGGATGTCCAACCTGCTTATTTTTTAAGAATAATTTTCGTCTGCTTTTTGACAGTACCAGGTCCATTTCACCTTTGGGTTTCTTTGGCTGTTTGGGATTCTTTTCTTTGGTGAGGTGGTGTTCAGACTCCAGTTCTCTGCATCATATGCCGCAAGTTGTATATAATTAGAGGCAAGAAACCCATCTCCTTTCTGTAGCAGACATTTTCTTGTTTTACAGAGGAAGGGAGCCATATATTCGACCCATTGTTTTCAACATGACCTTTTCCTATGGCAAGTTTCTCACAAGTATATTGAGATTAAATTTGTCTTCATTTTTATGAACTGGTGTTATTGATTTTTGCTATAATACATACTTTTGAGAAATTTGGTGGTTAGGAAAATTAGGATTATCCCTCCAACATGCAGGGACTTGCTAGCATATAAAGCTTCAAAGCCTCCATGGCTCACACGATAAGAATTTCAAAGAGATTCCTCTCTTTCATACTTTGGAAAGATACCAAAACATGGACTTGACATTATTGTCATTATTGTATTATGGATTGTACATTATTATGGCCTCTTGTGTTGGCCAAATAATGACCTTGTACTTTTGGTCTTTGGCATTTTAAATTCTTTACCTCATCCCTACATCCAGCCAGACAGCTATCTGTCACACTTAAGGGAGTTCTAGATTTTCTGTTTCTTAACATTATAACTTCATGGGGTTGGTTGTGAGGGTTCTATGTATCTTATTACGGGTGAATAAAGAGCAAAGATAAAAAGCTTGGATCTGTTTATTCAGCTAAATATGCAACTTTGTAGGTTTCAAAATATAAACTGTATTATACATTAATGTGGACTAGTGTATTTCATTACTCATCTTGCAGAGGTAAAAACAACATGGTTTGGATATATATGTTCAACAGCCAGTAAAAATATTAACTTACTACACATATAGAGCCCAACCACTCCCTGGACATCTTAACGTCAGCTCTAGGATTTTAGGGGCTCTCAGGCCTGAATGGACCCATCTTAAACAACTAAGGAACCAAGGGGGCAACCATATGAACAAAGAGGGACTATTTTCACATCCTACTCCTAAAAGCTTGCTTTTTTCCCACAAGATGATCACTGCATTTTGTTGTTCACTGCCATACACACCTGCTTCTCTGTGTTGCCACCATGCCTCATCCCTAGTTATCACCTCATGAAATCTTTGTGTAGTACTTCCAGGGAAGTTAGAAGCAGCATGGATGCCTCTTGCTTTGCTCCACCCTTACCAGGAATGGAGTATATCCTACTCACAACTTTTTTTTGTGATGCATGGAGGTGGGAGGTGGTGGGTGGCTTCTGTCATGTATCATGCTTGGAATTACTGAAAGGTTGGTACAGTATGAGAGATACTTATGCTGTTTGGGACACTGAGCTTCCTGGATTGCTTCATGAGGTAGGAATATTGGGCGTAGTCACCACAGATCACTACACCACACTTGCTGTCATGAGAGGGTGGGAATGCACAGAGAAGTAGGGAAGCAGGGTGTGGTAACTGTGACAGGGGAAGGAACTGGGATTTTAAGGAGCACTAGTGGCAAAAAAGCAAAAAAAACACTCAGGCAGGAGAAGCTCTTCAAAAAACTGCAGGTGATAGTTACACAAAATGTGAACTAACTCTCTCTCTCTCTCTCTCTCTCTCTCTCTCTCTCTCTCTCTCTCTCTCTCTCTCTCTCTCTCTCCAACAAGAACAGCAATGTAGTCCTTAAAACATTTATATCCCGCTTTTCCTCATGGTTCAAAGTGACTTACAATAACAGTTTAAAACATTTTCGGTTAGAACCAAAAATAAAAGATCTACAAAGCTGCACGACATGTGGAAAAGCAGCAGGTGACATTTTATAAATAAATAAATAACCCCTATTATTATACCTCCATCCCTATTTAATTTCTGTTTTTATTTATTAAATCAATAGACCAGCCTCCCATGAGTACACAAGGCTCAGGGTGGTGAACAACAGTAAAAACACTCATAACATAATAAAGCAATGCAAACAAAAAGTACAGAATTAAAGCATTCTCAAGTGGCGCTAAACTTCAGGATTCCAGACTGTGCCACTATCTCGTGGGTGAGGTAGAGAATAAGAAGGGAGAGGGGAAGACAGTACCCATCATGGTCCTCAATGGTCCTCAATGGTGGAACATCTCTGCCTTGCAGGCCCTGCAGAATTGCATTAGGTCCTGCAGGGCATGGATGTTACTCAGCAGAGAGTTCCATCAGGCAGAAGCCAGGGTTGAAGACAGCCGGAAGTCTTCTGGGCTGGGGGTCAGCAGTAGATTGTTTTCTGCAGAGTGTAGCACCCTTTGGGGGAAATTGTATAATAATGCTTTAAATGCTATCAAATGTATTGGATGTTTTATTACTGCAAGATTCCTTCCCATGTAAGCCGCCCTGAGCCCTACGGGGGAGGGCGGGGTATAAATTTAATAAATAAATAAATACCAGAGGAGGCAGTTCTGAAGATATGTGGGTCCCTGACCACTTAGGGCCTTAAAGTTAAATCAAACCTTGAACTTGACTCGGTACTCCACTGGGAGCCTGTGCAGCTAATGCAGCACTGGCTGAATATGTGCTATCTGTGGTGTTCCAGTCAGGACCTGTACTACCACATTCTGGACCAGCTGGAGTTTCTGGGTCAGTCTCAAGGGTAGCCCAATGAAGAGAGCGAGCTACAGTATTCCAGTCTGGAGGTGACCACTGCATGGATAACTGTGGCTAGGTCAGGGCAAGGCAGGAAGGGGGGGGGTTGCCTAACCTGGCGCAGGTGGAAAGATGCCAGCTTGGCAACATTTTTGATATGGGTCTCCATTGATAAGGAGGCATCCAGAACCACACCCAAACTCCTGACAGTTGATGCCAGTATTAAGGCATGCTGTCAAGAGAAGGGAGTTTCAGGGTGCCCTATCCCTGAAACCACCTCCCCCCAGCCACAGAACCTCCGTCCAGGGCCGGCTCGCTCACTAGGCGAGCTAGACTCTCGCCTATAGTGTGGGCCCATTGGGGGTGCCAGACTGAGACACCCTCCGCCGCCAAAACCCCCCGCCCCCGCCAAAAGCTCACGCCGCGCACTCTGGCCACTGCCGCCTCTTTGCCCGCCCTCCCGCATGACTTTCTGGGCGCATGCTGCTTCAGTGCTCTTTAAAGGCAGTCTTTAAAGTGTAATGGCCGCAGCGCCTCCTGCACCACCAAGAAATGGCAGCAAAAAGTTCCCCTGCCTCCCCAGGCCCCGCAATGCACTCCACGGGCTCTCGGCCGCCTCCAGGGGTGCCTGCCCAGCCACGCTGGGGGCCATGTCGGTGGCGCACAAGGCCAGCCTGCTGTGCGTGTGCCAACTCAGCGTGGCCATCTCCTCGCAGCTGCACCCGCCCCCACCGCCCGCCCTGCTGCTCCTCAAGGCCTCCATCCTACCCTTCGGCTCCCAGTACTGCCTGTTGCCCCTGGCCGCTGGGCAGCCCGCCAGAGGTGCCGCCGCTGCTGCCCACCCTCTACCAGAGCACCTACCCCCTGCTCGACCCCCGGCACTTCCACTGCATCCCCCGGGTGTGGCGGCCAGGCCCCCCCTGCTGGAACCCGGGAAGCCAGCCAGGCCAGTGCCCCCTGATTCAACTGGCTTTCAAGCAAGGGAAACTTTTACCTTTACTTTATATGTCATGTTTAAAACTGACTTCAGGATTTATGGTTGCCCTGTTGTGTATAGATCTGTAGAGATTTGTAGATGGCTTTAAAAACAACTCTGCAAAGGTTGTTTGAACTCCTTGGGACCCACATGAAACAGAAGTCTTGTTTTGCTTCAAAAAATAGCAAAATTTATTCCAACATAAACTTGGTGAGTCAGAGGCCACCTCATCAAATGTGTGAAGTGTTGATTTAAAAGAGATCTAGGGCAAGGGTGACCATGATATGCAGACCCAGAAGTGTAGAGGTATAGCTGAACTAATTAAAATCTGTAAGGGGTGCTCTGACATAACTAAATGGCAGGTCCTTGTTAAATTCTGGTTGAGAAATAATGATGAAATCTAATTCTTGATGGCTGCTAATTCAGCAGTTTCCCTTTGGATTATCCTTTTGAAGTCTTTCTGTAGGAGACTGGTGACTTTCATATCAGCAATAGAATGCCCCACTGGTTTCTGAATACTGTGATTTCTGATGTCAGCTTTGTGTCCATTTATTCCAGAGTAGAAATGAAAAGGGAATCGCTAAGGAGAATGGTAACCGTAAGAAAAAGCTCATACAAACTTGTGTGCACTTACTTGGCAGTAACACTGATTGAACTCAGCAAGAGTTTCTTCTGAGTAAACA